GTGCGTGTGCATGTGTATGCACGTGTGTGTGTGCGCGCATGTGTGTGTGTGCCCCCGTGGCCACCACTGACATTCTTAGCTGCGAAATGTTGCAAGAGCCAATGCTCAGTACGACGTGACGACCTGTCATCAGAAAAGGCCCACTGGGTGCCCCATGGACTTGGGGATAGATGAGTCTTCTCTAACGTAAAGGATGCGGGACCACATCAGTGCCACTCGGCGCTCAGTCCCCCTGGTGCGCTCTGGTCCAGATTCTGTCAGTGTCCCCGGGAGACCAGGGGCAAGGTTTTCACAAAAGGCACAGCGTGAACCGTGGACGGGCCAGGAGCGGCCAGGAGGACTGAGGGCCAAGGCAGGGGCCGGGGGAGGAGGGAGCCCATGTCCAGCTGCCTTCCATGGTCCTGCATGGGGTGACGCCCCAGATGGGACAGACAGCCCTGCCCCCAGGAGGTGGCCCGACGGGGCCATGGGCGGAGCTGGGCCAGGAGGAGCATGCTGTGGAAAGAAAGCAAAGGCAGGCAGCCGAGCGGTATGGGGGTCCCCTCGGGTCGCGATTACCAGGGCCACGCTCCAGCCCAGCCCGGGGGCAGGTTCACAGGGCAGGTTCAGGCCTGTGGAGGCAAGGAGACCACAGGCGACGGAGGGTTCCTCCGGGGAAGGCTCCAGGCTCGGCTCCTTAGCCGCCTTTAGGGATCTACAACACAAACAGAGAGGAACACAGTCAGCGAGGAGGCCCGGCCGGCGGCGGGCCCCCTGCTGCTCGGCAGGTTGCTCCGCCCTGGGGGCAGCGGGTGGTTACCACCGGGCACCGTGGGTCAGGGACTTTCACTGTTCATCCCGGACCTTCCCTTGGAGACGCCCGCCCCTGGGGAGGCGGCCCCACCCACCCAGTCATCTTTCTAATAAGTTGAATGTTGAGAGAAGGGCGACCAGCTTCCCAGAGAGGAGCCGGGAACTGGGGTGGCTCTGCCGGCCCTTCAGCCACCACATGTAGTCTTAGGCCATAGGAAAGCTTGTCATCCAATGTTTACTCCCAACGAACAGTGAAAGTTCATCTCACGGTGGGTGGGGAGGAAAGAGAGACCAGAGACAGACCCCCGAAGCCCTCGGGTGCACGCAGGGCAGGAACGGGTGTCGTCAGGTAAGGGGGGAAAGGGCAGTTTTTAAAAAGCGCTCGGCTAGGAAATCCCCCGTTACCGAAGACAGAGGAGTTAACTACTGGAAACGCACAGTCATTTTCTCAGAAAGGTGACACATCACGGGACAACACTGAGAAAAATGCGACGTTTATTAGAGGCAGGTTCAGGGTACAGCTGAGAGGTGCCAGGCAGTCTTCCCTTCCAGGGTAAGAAGCGAGAGAGAGAGTCACGTTGGCCGTATTTAAACAAAACTTACTCGAACCCGAGTGTCTAGAATAAACGCAAGCGGAGCAGCCGGCAGGGCCCTAGCTACGGAGAAGCCGTCCTCTGGCTCCCCGGCGGTTACAAAAACAAAAAGGTCATTAGGCCGCGGGATCTCCAGCAAAACAAACATAAAAGAGTGACACGTTAAAACAGCGCATTCAAGTGACCCTTTCAGTCTTCAAACTGCAGCAGGTACAGACGGGGGCCCGCGGGCACACGCCACAGAAAGCAGCTCCGAGCGCAACACCGAGCGAGCAGAGTCACGATCCAGCCGACACACTGGGGCTTCTTCTAGTCTAAATATTTTGGCAATTTTTAAAGTCACATCACAGACGCCGCACATGCTCAAGGGCATGGGCGAGACCACAGGCAGGAGGGGTGGTG